CAATGTAACATTGTCTTTGCAGATTTTACAAAAGAAAATCGGGAATCCATCACTCTAGTTTTACACTGGCATCCTGTCAGTCACATAATTGACTTATAAATACTGTTGGTAAAACACTAAATAGCTATACGCGCTAAAATAAACATGTAGAATTCTTCCAGGAAGGATCCTCTTTATAAACCTAGATTTTGTCAGTGGTGATATCATTGCCACTGGGAAAGATGCAGTCAGAGAACTTAACAGATGGGTATTTAAAATCTAAATTAAGGCTGAGTTCGAAGATGGGTGTGGTCCAAGCAAGGCCATCTGAAGTAGAGGCATGGGGGGATAATCCATTGGCCCCAGATGCCTCAATGAAGTTGTGTCGTCGATTTTGGTACAGAAATGTCCCTGCCCTAGATAAACGGCAAGATCTGTGCTAAACTTAAAGAACAGGCTATCCCGCTATTTGCACATCACACAGCTGTTTAAAGCACACTCCTCAGTGTGACAGTTAGCTGAGGGACATGGATGTACTCCCATCACCACAGTGGCAGGATGGCTGCTGAGCGTCAGGATAAGGGCCTTCAGCTGCAGGCAGCGATGTCTCTGTTCTGAGTGAGATGCTAACATGCTGGGGCGTGACATGTCAAGCTCCTGGCTGTTTTTGAAGAAGAGCCGACAGGAGAAGCTGAGGTTTAACAGACTTTATGAGACGTGGCAGGTGGAGCATCAAAGTAAAGATAGTAGTATAGTTGTCTGTTCACATTTTATTTTTCCATGAACCAGTCTAGAAACTAAGTCCAGACTGTGATGCTTGCTGTTAGTTTGTACCTCCTGTCTGTCTTCTTCTGTTGATTTCTCTGAAGTCCACCGCTCTTTGAACCTCTTTCCTTCTCTTTCCTTCTCTTTCCTTCTCTTGAGCTGTTTTTCTTTTCTTTTCTGGGGACAGCCTTCATGAATCCGTGCACTCCACAAATATAAAAGTCAATATTAAAAAAGCGTTCCAGGTTGCTTTCTGATGGAAAAAACGTATGTTTGTTGTCAACAGCTGAAGTTAAGTCGACCGGACTTCTTTCAGCGGATTGATATGACTAATCATAGTCCCTTGATCCTCCTTAGCAACAGTCATGTTATCCTTAGCAGCGGTGTGTTAGCGAGTATTATTATATGTCTTAGTTCTTAATTCTGATTGGTCAATTCGGACATTTCAGAGGTTAATATGACAGTAGTACAGACCGCTGTTAAGCACTATAATGACCGTTGTTAAGGAGGATGAAGAGAGAGAAAGGGAAAGAGGTTAAAAGACGGAGCGCTGGATGTCAGATAAATCAGCTGAAGCAGACAGACAGGAAGTAAACACTAACAGGAACACGGTATGGGCTCTGCAGTGTTTAAGGACTTGTTAGTGGATCAGAAACTGTAAACAGACTTGGACAGTCACACAAAACATCAATCAGAGCTGCCTTCATTCAAAATAAGTTATTGTTGTTGGATATCCAGCTTTTGGTGTGCTTTGGAACAGAGTCTTAGTTTATTAGCCGAAGCAAATACGGTCGGTTTCAAGTCAATAAATAAGGTAATAATTTGTCGAACAATGACCGCCTCGCTGCACATTATCCATTACCTAACAACCTCTGAAATGTCCACATTGAGCATTGAGAATGGAGTATTCAATTAAGCTCCATAATGTAAAATGGTTTGGTTGAATTCTTGATTCTTGATTTATTTACGACATTCTGTGGCAATCTATTTCTTTATAGAAGACTGATGACAAGGATGTTCTGATAATAGGACCATGTATAAGTACAAAATAGTTTTTGTATCCGCCCTTTGATTCGTTCCAAAGTTGAATAAAGTTTTTTCTTGGACCATGATATTCCCTTCCACCAAGAGTAAGAAACTAAACGAAAAACATAACTTCCTTTGTGGCGGTAGTGTAATACAGTATTGTATATATATTTTATAAGATAAGATAAGATAAGATGGACCTTTATTAATCCCTGTGGGGAAATTCAGTAGTTTAACAGCAACAGGGTAAGATTGAAAAACAGGACCGCACAGATTCACACAGATTAATACAATTAAGGATAAAATCAAAGATACAAATACAAAATTGTAAATAACTATAAAATAAGAAATTAATTAAAATGAACATATATACATATTTAGTCATATGTACATATTATTTACATGTGTGTGTGAAAACCATGTGTATTTCATGTCCAGTTTGTGTCACATTGTTGACCCCTTGTTGTGCAGCCTGATGGCTACAGGCACAGAGGACTGTCCGAGGCGCTTGGTGCTGTGCCGAGGAGGGATGAGTCTGTGGCTGAACGTGCTCCTCATCTTCACTAGCTCTGCATGGAGGGGTTGGGAGGGGTTCTCTAGGATGCTGTCGAGCTTCCTCCTCGTCCTCCCCTCTGCCACCTCCTCCAGATTGTCCAAATCCAACTACAGAGCTAGCCTTCCTCACGAGCTTGTTCAGCCTGGCAGGGTCCCTTGTGTTGGTGTTTCCACCCCAGCACACCACGGCAAAGAAGAGCCCACTGGCCACCACAGACTGGTAGAACATCTGCAGCAGCCTCGTGCACACGTTGAATGACCTCCTCAGGAGGAACAGCTTGCTCTGTCCCTTCCTGAAGAGAGCATCAGCGTTGTCTGTCCAGTGCAGTTTATTGTTCAAATGCAGTCCCAGGAACTGGTAGCTGTCCACCACCTCCACCTCCTCCCCCCTGATGGTGATGGGGGCCTCTTCCTGCTCCGCCTGAAGTCCACCACCAGCTCCTTAGTCTTGCTGATGTTGAGCTGGAGGTGATTGTTGTCACACCAGCCTACGAAGTTCTCCACCAGGGCCCTTGAACAGGAATGGTGACAACACAGTTCCTTGGGGGGCTCCGGTGTTGCTCAGCAGCACATCAGACACGCTGCCCTGCAGTCTGACATACTGAGGTCTGCTGGTGAGGTAGTCTGTGATTCAGGCCACCAGGCTGTGATCCACCTGCATCACTGACAGCTTCTCAGCGAGCAGGTGTGGCTGGATCGCGTTGAAGGCGCTGGAGAAGTTGAAGGACAGGATTCTTAGTGAGCTGTGCGGCTTCTCCAGTTGCGTGTATGGCTCTGCGGAGCATGAAGATGATGACGTCCTCTACATCAATGTTATCCTATAGGTAAACTGTAGAGGGTCCAGGGAGTCACACACGTGGGGTTTGAGATGTTGCAGGATCAGTCTCTCAAAGATCTTCATGACGTGTGAAGTCAGAGCTACAGGCCTGTAGTCTCCTGGAGTGCTGGGGCGTGTCTTTTGGGGCACCGGGACAATGCAGGAGGTCTTCCAGATTTCAGGCACCTTCATCAGCTTCAAAGAGAGACTGAAGAGGTGCTGAAAAGTTCCTGCTAACTGTCTGGCACACGCCTTGAGCACCCGGGGGTTGGTGTTGTCTGGCCCCCTTGCCTTCCTCACGTTGATCTTAGAGAGTTGATTCCTGACTTGTCCGGTGGTGATTATCAGAGGTGTTATAGACATATAACACATTATTTTGCATACATTTATGTACTTTTTGAGACACATTTCTACACTAATTCAGAGGGTGTAAAGTTCAAACTCAGACACAGCTTTACAAATAAAAAAAGTTGTACATTATTTGATTTTGTTACACTCTACAGGAGGGATAAGGGAGGAGTCACAAAGAAAGATAGCACATTTAAGTCCAGTTCTGATGGCACTCTAATGCAGCCCTCCTTTATAACAGTGAGTGTGTGGATGGCAGAGATGTGGTGATGCACAGCCTGGAGGATTCCTCTCCTCTAATTGCGCAGGATGATACCGCAGCTCAGCTACAGCTTCACACTACAACCCAGCTTAAAACAGTCCCTCTAGTGCTGCATTCAGGCCATCCTTGAAAAACAGGAAGATACCACAAATCTTTTTCGACCAAAGTCAGAAACTTGACGACTTGTCAATAGATAGAATAGAATAGAATTGGAGGATGAAATCCTCTTTATTGGTCCCTCGTGTTCATGTACACAGCACACAGTGAAATGTAGTCTCTACTTTTTACCCATCCTAGTGCTAGGAGCAGTGGGCAGCTATTGCACAGCGCCCGGGGTCAGACCCTGACACCTTTGATTTATTAAAATGTTAATCTGTAAATATAGATTAATGTCTTGTTGATGTGTGTACATACAATGTACTGTAGAGATATTAAATGGATATATAAATAAATAATAAATAAATAAATAGATATCCGCCATAAGTCATCTCTTGTCTGTTATTCATGTATTTTAGGCATGGTCCTTGTTTGATAAATACTAATAATACAAACACTAATTTATCCGAACTGTTTTTAAACCATCACAACGTTTTTCATCACAACTACAATTCAGGGTATTGTTAACTACCTATTTGATTTTGCCATACTTTGGTGGGGATTGTAATATATTCAAGTGTGAAGTATATTGTGAAGGCTTACTATAAATGATTACACATTTTGCCTTCTGTTTTATGATAAGCCTACATATTTTTGTCAAGCTTTTAGTCAATGGTTAGTTAGTTAGTATTTTTGTAGTTACTTTTACTGCTTTTAATTATGTTTTGGTTACTATCCTAATGTCTTTTTTGTAGTTTGCTACTTTTTATAGCACTATAAAAGTATTTACTAGTAACAATTTAAGATATTATAATTATAATTATTATTGTTATTAATATAATTATTATTACAGCAGGGTTTCTTTCCAGCTGCCATGAGCACACTGAATTCGTTTCTTTAAAAGGAATTTAGAAACTTCCGAGTATTACCGTATTCAATGAACGCAACCCTCCACGCTTTGAAACAGACAGCACTGTTGACCAATCAGCGCTTGGACCTATTCCTACGCCCATCAATGAAACAGATGCGGAGGCGGGGCCTCGGTTAAAGGGGCTCGCTTGGTTACACTGCGGCTTCGTCAGCTCTCGTCACATTGGCGCAGGTGATCCGTCTCAGGATGCGAGAGGAGAGCGGAGGAGAGGGGCAGAGAGAGGGGAAAGCACCGATGGGAAAGTGTCCGGGGCTCGGTTAACAAGAAGACAGCATCCGGTCCTCTTCAGTTCGTCCTGGGACACTTGGAGATGAGAGATTCACCGAAAGGGGCACTTTGAGATATGATGAGGTTTATTTCTGGTCGGCAATAGTACTATGATTTGGTATGTGGCCACTTTGATAGCAAGTGTATTCAGCACCCGAGGAACGGCCGCTCAAGGTGAGTCGAAGTGCAGAATTTGCATCCACACCGCTTACTGTGCAACTTTTAACTCAGCCTTTTTTCTTCTAAACCTGCTTTCCCACACCTGTCTGTTTGCTGACTTTGAATATATCGCTGTTAAAAATGACATACTTTACGTCATGAAGTTCATGCGTGTTCATCACCTGTGTGGAGCCGGGCCGGTGATGAGGAAGCACCGCTGGTGAGGAAGCACCATTAACGGTTCAAAGATTTTACACAGCTTAGCAGGGACGATATTTCAACATTTTTGGAGATAAGACAGCCGTTTTACCCAACATAATATTGTATGGACATGTGTGCTTAGTGTCATGTGTTTGGCTTCATGGTGTTGCAGTGTGTTAGGGTTGACATATTCCACCAAATGTTCAGTTTGCTCTCCGGAGCTCCAGGACGTGTTGCCGGTGTGCGGCTGCAGCAGCAGCCGGGCTCACTGAGCTGCACACCGGCTGCCAGCGCTCCATTAAACGTGAAGGCAAATGTGATTAGCATGATGCGCGTGTGTGGATGAACTTCTTCATGGGGAGCTGTTCGTGTAAAGCTGAGTGTGACAGCCTGTGTCCGTTAGAGGGAGCACTTCTTGAGGCACCACGTTAAAATGAATTATAATAAATGAATTATAAACCATGTCAGTCATGTGTGATGCAACTTTGAACACATATTTGATGACTTCATGAGAGTTTTTTTAATTATTATTATTTTTAGAAATATAAATGTGCTTTCTTGTGGAAAAGAAAAGACTCTTGTTTGACAGTGGCTTTATCCCTGATCCTTCAACCATCCACCTGCAGCTGATCTCTGACTGCAAGGCCCCTATAGGGCCGGTCCTAGACATTTTGGTGCCCTAGGCGAGATTATGATTTGGTGCCCCCCCCCCCTCCAAGCAATACAAAAAGAATATATAAAGAATAAATGAAAAATCTCTACAAAAGACCAATACACTACAAAAACTGAAACGTATTGACATGTTGGTTATATACATAAAGAAGGTTTCAAATGTATTCATTATTGTATGAACATGCTTTAATTGGGGGGTGGACGTCACATCCTCTAGGGGGGTCCGGGGGTATGCCCACCCGCAAATATTTTCTTTAACATTTTAAAGTAAAATGCTTCAATCTGGTGCACTTTGAGCAGAATTACTAGAGACTAGATCTAGGGGGTATAACTCTAAACACCCATATGAAAAAGATCGGTTTACATTTTAATAACCAAATAAGTATGTGAACATAACCAATAACCTACCATAGCCAATAACAAATAAATGTAACATATTTTATTTTTGTTGTTCATTCATATCTTATTTTACTTAGTTAACATTTATTTATTCATGCAATTTTTTTATATCTCCAGTTTCAAACGATATTTTTGGTTACTGTCCTATAGTATACATTGGAATGATTTCAAACCTGTTTTTATTTATCCTAATAATTATAAAGGAGTGCCTTGGAAATATGTGTTTACATAAATTGTGATCAAACCGTTTGAGACCCACTGAGATAACTTAGACTAAAGTGAACTATCTAAACACTCAGAGTCCTTTACCTCACTGAGCTGTAGTTATCAGCCTCAATCCAACAACAATCCGCGGTACCGATGCTCTCTCTCTCTCTTGCTCGCTCGGAGGCTCGCTCGCACTTTGGCTGTGAGCTGCGGGCGCCTGATAAGTCAACATCCCCCACTTTCATCACTTACAGCGCCCATCGTACAGGGCAAATGCAAAGTGTAACCGGGGTGAAAAGGGTGTTACCTTGACTTAATTATGAATGTTGTTACATCAAGGCTGAAAATTAGGATGAGCCAAACAGTCAAAAATGTTTTTTTCCCTCCCAGAACTACCAGCGCAGCGCCCCCATAGATCTGGCGCCCTAGGCGACCGCCTATGTCGCCTATGCCAAAGACCGGCCCTGCCCCTATAGAATCAGTTTCAGCATTCACAATATTATTAATAGGGATGCAACTCATAAATATTCTCATTATCATTAAATAATCTGCTGATCATTTTCAGTTTTTCTTTTTTTTATACTTTAAAATGTCAGATAAATGTAAATCTTCCCAAAGCCCCAAAATGATTTTGCTTCTTTGGTCCGGCAAACATTCCAAAGCCGAAAAGCTTCATATTACTATCATAGGTTACTAAGGAAAGACGGAGATATTCTGAACCCAGTGAATTTTATGAGTGATTCAAAAAATAACTTGGATTTAAAATGAAAACCTCATTTTCTGATCCATTAATCAACTAATTATAGCTCTAATGCAGCTCTAATCGTGAATGACATCGCTTGTAGTTGGTAGACCCACGTGGTACTGTGTGGACTGATAGTGTGTAATGTGTGCACGTGAGCTTGTCTCATTGGTGAGAACTGCGATGTGTGGTGAGAAAGGAAAGCTACAGCACCTTGCCTTAAAGGAATCCCCTCATGTTCCATAGAGAGGGGAGATGCAGGAAATCAGAACAGCTGATTAGATGACAAAGAAAGATACGATTGATGGTAAGAACTAGCTTTCCATCACTGTTTTAAATGTTGGCAAATACAGGTTCACATATGTTTATTCTCGCTGGGTTGCCACTTGGCTCGGCTGGCTCCACAGTTATGTAATGCTCTGCCTAAAGAGGATACACTTAAGCATCGTCTGGGAAAAGAGGGAGACTTAGGGAGATGTGTTTAAGCGGCTTCCCTCCTCTCCTCCACGGCTGGGAGAGCAGGCAACTTGGCAGAAACACTTACTTCTGGGGAGGAGCGACTGAGACTGGCCCAGCCTTAAGACTCTCCCTCAGTCAGTAACTGGTCATACATCACACACACACACACACACACACACACACACACACACACACACACACACACACACACACACACACACACACACACACACACACACACACACACACACACACACACACACACACACACACACACACACACACACACACACACACACAGCAGCAGCAGAGGCCTCGACTTTTGCCACAGATCACCTGGCCCTGTGCCAGACCCTCCCTCTGTCCTCCCCTCCTCTCGGGTTTCCTGTACTCCTCACCTTGTTTCATCCCTCCCCCTCTCACTTTTCCCCGTCAGGGAGAGGTGGGAAGTAACTAAGTACATTTACTCAAGTACTGTACTACATTTGAGGCACTTTACTTGAGTATTTCCATTTAATGGTATGTTATACTTCTACTCCACTACATTTTAGATAAGATCAACTTTATTATGTCAACAGATTTCCCGTAACTGTATGAGGTTAGTTGAAAGCAATACTATTAAGTTTAAATAACAAATATTACGCTCAACTAAATATTATTGCTTTCAACTAACCTGATTCAGTAATGTGACTTTTCTTGACATTATACATTTAATTAAAGTCAAACTTTCAGTGTTTTCAGTGTGGACTCAGGGCCTCGCCGCCCTCCACCCTCTTCCCGTCCCTCCACCCTCTTTCCGTCCCTCCTCTCATCCCTCCTCTCATCCCTCCTCTCGCCCCTCTTCCCGTCCCTCTTCCCGTCCCTCCTCTCTCCCTCCTCTCATCCCTCCTCTCGTCCCTCCTCTCGTCCCTACTCCTGCCCCTCTTCCCGTCCCTCCTCTCTCCCTCCTCTCGTCCCTCCTCTCGTCCCTCCTCTCGTCCCTCCTCTCGCCCCTCTTCCCGTCCCTCCTCTCTCCCGCTCCGTCCTGTCCCTTCCCTGTCCCACACACTCTGGTGAACACACTCATGTCCCTGCAGGTTTCCCGTGGCTCGCTCCTCATGGCTGGGTAGCCGAGGGAGGGGAACATGGTGGGTTGTGTTAATGGAGGCTCAGGGCGCTCCACAGCAACCGTCTGCTGCCTCACGCACACACACTTGTTACCCCTACCCACGCACACACTCACACAACGCATACACACACATGTCAACATGCCCCTGGGGGAGCTGTGTGTCTTTTAACCAGGATCTGAACATATGCCCACTAACAGGCGGCCTGCCTTGCCTAAGTTGGACTACTTAGGATTAAGCTGTGAGATAAATGCCACTCTGTTGCTCAATAAGTACATATGCCAGAAAAACGGCAAGAGCGATGGGGGTAGAGGAGGAGGGGTGACGCTTTATTGTTTGGATTATAGAAGAAAAAAACAATGGGAAAATAGCTTTTTCATTTTTGAAAGATTTTTACCATAGGCCTATATCCTTTGCTTTGTATCAATTTAGCACAACACTGACAGCGTCACTAACCGGCAGCTCAAAGAACACACAGAGTAGCTTACTGTTCGCCTACAGATGCACTTTCCGCTTATTTTAAGTTTTGATGAATTCAATCACAGTGTTAATTGTTCTTGAAGATCTTCTTGAGATTGTGAAAATTATATTCTGATTTGGTCAAGTGTGTTACAGACTGGACGCAATGTGGTGTCTTTTTTTGAAAAATGGGTTAAGAAGTATGTAAATAATCATAACACTTTAAACTAATTTCAGTGGATGACTTTTTAAAGCTTTCGAAAGGAAAGTGACCTCTCCTTGTTGTTAGCGTGAGTGGGAGGATGTGTGTGTGTGTCGTGAAAGCACATATGTGAATAATTTGCTCTCGCTATCTGTAGAACATAAGTGTTGCAAAACAGTTGGGTAACCATATTAGCATCATCATGTGTATCAGCGGGTGTTCATTGATTTTCCCTGATACACACTGATTCACTTGGTAAAGTTAACCTTTTTTGGGGTGTGTAGAACCCAGCTGACCTAGAACTGACCTAATTTTCAGTGGAAAAGGGTACAAGTCACACCAAACAGGATAAGTAAAGCCATAATGCAAAGTAAAGTGCTGCAAGACCTGCCATCAGTCTTTAGAATTTGATGTGGCCCCATGTAGAGCTGATGATGCAGGAAGACAAATAAAAACTGTCCAATCATTGACTTATCTGTCCTTATGAGAGCACGCCCTGTGGGCCTTTGAGAATATTACTGCCCTCTCCTTTCTCAGCAGCAATACTATAAGAAGTTCACTTAAAGAG